ATTGTTCTTGCACTAGATTTTCAAAAGATGTTAAAAGTTGGTTATATTATTGTTGAATATAAAATATTTGTAATTATTATTAAGAAGATAAGATATATATATTTGAAATATGCAAGTTTTGTTTCAATAAATAAAATAATATTAAAATATTGGTTAATAAAATAGTCAAACCAAAGTTGTCTTTTGTAATAGTATTGTATTCTTAAATATTATATGTTGCAATAGTTGAATACTGCTATATATTTGTATAATTAGATTTGTTGATGTAGTCAGTTAATATTAATTAAGAAATATCTATTGCTATTATTTTGCTTATAGGAGCATATTAGATTGTATAATAGTATAAGACTAGCATTATTAGACAAAAAAATTTCAGAAATTACATAATCAAATTGAATGTTTATTAAATTAATTAATGTATTTTTTAACATTATTAATTATTAAATTAATCACTAAATAAAATGATATATAAAAGTAAATTAATTGGGTTTTCTGTATTTTTTGTTTTGTGCACTTTTTCATTAATCATATTGAAAAAGTAACAAAGATGAATAAAATAAACTTATTATTTATTAAATCATAAAACTTGTATCAAAGACTAATAAATTTATATATTATATATATAATAAGCTAAAGAATGCAATTTTATTTATTTTTTATTGTAACAATAAAATTGAAAGATAAATTAAAAAAGCTCAAATTGATAATATTGCAAAATGACAAGATACTAAACCTTGATTGCTATGATATGAATGTAAAAGATTCATTCTTATTAATATAAAACCACTTTATGAGCTGACTTATATTTGCATTTATCACCTAACACATTCATGCCCTTGATTAACTGCAGTTTCTCATAAAATTCAAGAATACATTCAACAAAATAAACTTTTACAGTTTCTCAAATTTATTATAATATAAAAGTTTCAGGTCTTAATAGATATATTCATGCTACACAACAGCAAATCTATTACTAGTATAAACATTTAGAGGTTGATAAATATAAAATAGCTGAGAACTAAGTAGAATCAACAATCAAATACCTTTTCCAACAATCTAATTTTAATATAATTATTTAGCAATCTACAATAATTGCTTTTACAATTTCTTTAATTAATATTTTTCTAAAAGATTGAATTAGTATAATTGTTGTAGATGTAACTTACAATACAAATCAACTAAAGTATAAACTTTATAATATTCTTAAAATTATAAACAGAATTAAATTCCTAATAACATATTTGTTATTAAAATCAAATCAAGAAAAAAAGCATTTGATAATTATACTGAATTGGTTTTATTAATTAGAGAACAAAACTTTTATTATATTTATACTTTTTTAAGTAATAAAGATTTTTCACAAGTAATATCAACTTAAATGATTTGGCCTTATACATGTATTTAGTTATGTTATTAACAAGTTCTTCAGTTTATAAAAAAAACTTTCTAGTTTTAGAATATTTATTTACTATATAATGCATATAACATACATATTATTTGTTTAGAGATTGATTCAATTTAGCAATTCAATTAAGAAATAATAATATATTTAATAAGCTCTTCTTAAATAATAATGTAGTTGAAAATGTAGATAAGTATTTGTTTTTGTTAAAATGATTTTTGTAAGTATATTATTCAACTAGTTTGAATTTGGTTCTTTATATATTTATTAATTCTAACTAAAAATAACTAAATTAAGAAATTCACAAGAAATTTGAAAATACAGTATTAAAGAATTATATAATTATTATAAAATTAACAATTTATTTTATGTTTAGGCTTATATATAGAATAAGTAATACCAACCAGAATACTGAAAATTATAGGTTCATTTATTAATAAAGCATGTTAATATCTTATGATCCTTTATGACAATTAAGAGTGATCAAACATGATTATTTTTTAGAATATAATTATATATGTTTTGAATTATTAATTCATATTATTGTAGCATAAGTAATACCTAGACAAGTGAATCAATTGTAACAATTATAAAATAGTAGAATTGTAACATCTTAACATGATAATCTTAGAATAGAATAAAAAATTAACTTAATAAAAAAGTGGATATCTTTAATTCTTAATAAATTATTAATATAAAATGCAGAATATTTATATGTTTTAGTTTCTTGTTTAGCAAATTTTTTATCTACAAACATTTAGTTTAGCAAATAAATCCAATTCTTATTAGGTTCTTTAAGAATGTATATTTTAATTAATAATTTATTATATTTATATTAATAATTTATCATATTTACATTAATAATTTATCATATTTATATTAATAATTTATCATATTTATATTAATAATTTATCATATTTATATTAATAATTTATTATATATATTAATAATTTATTATATTTATATTAATAATTTATCATATTTATATTAATAATTTATTATATTTATATTAATAATTTAAATATTTTTAAATTCAGTATCAAGAATATTATTCATTTTTGTGATTTACTAAGAAATATGATAATTATTTTGAAGACCTACTAGAAATATTTTTTTAATTTTAAACAAACCTATAATTAACTAGATATCAAAGCAATATAATACTTTAAATAAAAAAATCTTATACACTTTTTTAATTCAAAAAAATATATTATCTAAAGATAATGTGCAGTTTCAAGATAATATATTACTAAATAACAATATGCTAAATAATGTTAAAAGTTTTGCAAAAAGTTATTTGTTAATTTGTTAAATTTGTAGATTTTTTTAATGTATTGACAATAACTTTGATATATAATCTTTATATAATTAGAAATATAAATAATAAAATATTTTGAATATGTTTTAGAATTTTATTATGATTTAATGATAATGGTATAAGTTCTTATAGAGTATATTATTAATTATAACTCTAATTGTCTTAAATTTTTGTTTATTTATATTTTAGATTTATAAAAAACTTTTTACATAATAGATAATTTTGTAAATTATAAAAAAAACAAAAATAATAAAATTTATATTAGAAAATTATTGTAATATAAGCATTTGTTTAAATATATAGTTAATAGTCTTGTAAATGTTTGTATCTGTAATTGTAATTTGATTAGTTTGTTTATATGTAACTAAAACATTATTGTATAGATTAATATATTTTTTTTGGTATACTAAAGTAGTATTTGGATTTTTGATAAAGGTGATGAAGAATCTTGTATCAAGATATCTAAATTTAAAAAATATTGCAGATAGAATTATGAATTTAATTAATATAGTAATTAGTTTGTGATCAATAAAATTACAGATTTCAGTTGATGTTTGAAGTGCATTAATAATTTTCTTATAAGACCAGGTTTGTTAATCAAATGCAAATTCCTAATATATAAATCTCAATAAATATCAATTACTAATTAGAAATATGTTAATGCCGGCCAGATGATATGGTAATGCTGGTTAGAAGAGATGATTTTATTTTGGGATCATTAAAATCCCGCGTGTGCCTATCTCTAACTACTGAACTACAATATAACGATAACGATAAAAAAAACATCTTCTATTTAATTTTAACCCTATAGTAAAAACAAATTCCAATTTTATGCTACGCATGCAACCAAATTCATCAAGAATCGAGCTCTTTTAGTAAGATGACGCATATAGTTTGCGAAAAAAGAGTCTATAGAAGGTAATAAATTATCACAAATTTTAAATGTTTTATTGTTATATTACCGTTAATGCATTAGTCAGTATTAGTCTTCATACTCTTGATAATCTTGATCTTTGATCATGCACCTGATCACTCATTTGATCATGCACTTGACCTTATTCGTTTTATGACTCCCATAAAGATTGTACTGGGTAGACATAACCCGAATAACCGAATAATTTTGTAATACCTGGTATAATTTTCTTGATGGGTACAAACCCGTTCCACTTTGTTCGGGGTATAGATAAGACGCTAACTTCTTTATGATTTCCGTCTCCACATTTTGAACATCAGTATTGTGTGTGCAGTAAAGATAATAAATCTTGATTTAATTTTCAACAATTTATGTAATACATATTAGGGATTTACCTTTTAATTCACATAAAAAATTGGTGTTTATTCTGTACTACCTGATGCTCAAAAGTCTTGGCAGACTATCGAATTTTTTTTTTAACCTAAAATTAAATATAGTAATATCTCTAATTTATGAAGTTTTCAATTCTTGGAAAGTCATTTTATTTGATCGGATATTACGTACGTATAACTATAATTTCAGAAATTTGTTTTTTCTCGTTAGGTATTTATTTTATATATCTAATTTTTTAAATTATAAATATCAATATTATAAAAAAAAAACAACAATTATAATAATTGAGTTTTACAAAAATTTTGGTCTGTGGGTAATTAGTAAATGTAAAAAACGAAAAATTAATTTTACACACAATGGAAATTCAAGGTAACACCGCATTAGTTTATATAGTAACGCAGTATTAATTATAAATTTATGCATAAAAAAAAAAAAAAAAAAAAATCGAGATATTGATACTGTAGTAGTATTTTAATTCTTAACTATTTGAAATACTTCATAATCCGAAATTGTAAAAGAATTTGGAATTCCAATATTAGGATAAGAATAAGCAGAACAACTCCAATTTTTACAATTATCTGGAACATATAAATCACGACCACCGAAAATTGGACCACAATTATTATCACAATAAATAGCACGATTACTTATATTAACACGACCTAATGTTGCATTAATAAGATTATCAGGATCACTAATTAAAAATAAAAAACTATCTGTTGTATTTTTATAATGCCAATCAAGTGAATTATCCCAATCAAGTGGATTATAACCACCAACTAACATATTAGAATTTAAAATTTTTCCCACAACAATTGTTGCACCTTTGTTATCACATTTTTGATGAAATGTAAAAGATTTAAGACCATCTCTACTAGAACGAAAAAGAAGATTAAAATTATAACGAATTTTCTTTGAATTTTTATCATCATTATCAATCCAATTTGTAAATAATAGAGCAATCTTTTTATTAATTAAAACCGAATCGATTTCAAAGTTGCCCAATCTAATTTGAAATGATTGATAAAGTGGTACGGCAGTTGAAACTAAATAACAACGTAATATATCTTCAATTAAATTATCAGGAAGGAGATGCCTAAATGGCCATACTTCAAGCATGAATTCTTCACGATTCATCTGATGAAATCTAATAAGTTGAATTAATCCATATAAAGATTTTTCTAAAGTTTTAAAATCTTGATTGGTAAATTTTGATACATTATTTTGAATTGTTGAATGTTGAGCGATTCCCCATTTAATTAATCGTTTCCAGATATCACTTTCTTTCATATTGAGATCATCACGATTAAGAATTAATATCAATACATCTTTTTCTAATAAAAAAAATTTGGCGGAATTAAATATCAATTTAGGATTTTCACAAATAGAATCTAAAGAAGTTTTTCTAAGGTCATTAAATGTTTCATGATGAATAATAAAATGAAGTAATGTAACGGGATCTTGTTGTAAAAAATTTTTACAATTTTTAGTTAAGGTATTTAAAGAAGCTTTTTTAAGATTATCAAAAGAATTATGACAAGTAATAAAATTCAACATTTTCATTAGATCAAATTGTAAAAATCTGAGACAATTTTGAATTAAAAATTCTTGAACAGAATTAATGAGTCTTTGAATACCAAGTTCATCAACAGCAATTAAAAGTTCAAGAATTGTTTCTTTTTTTTGACGTTTAAAGTCTACTATTCCACAATATAGATACCTATTTTAATAATTTAATAAATATTATATATTTAATATATATGAATAACAACCGATTATAATTCTTTTTTCTTTCACTTACTTTAGAATAATTTCAAAGGTAAATGCACTAATATTAGGTTTTTTTAAAACCAAATGACCATCATTATTTCTTTCAGCCCAATTAGTAGAGAAAGCACTACGAAAATAAGAAGATCTGGTACGAAGAATTAAAGAATGAACATAGAATTCTTTAATATTTGGTTCTTCTCCTGCGATGATAATCGCATCATAATCTTCTTTAGTTTCATATAATTTTTTTAAATCATCGATTACATCGTTATAAAATGTTGTAGAGAAATAATCTTTTTTATTTTTACACATGTTCATGTTTTAACCTAACTAGTGAAGTTATAAGAAATTGTTGTTGTTGTTGTTGTTGTTGTTGTTAGAATTTAGTATACAAAATTACTTTATCCAAAAAAAAACGGTCATATACTAAAAAAGCACATGGGTTTAATGGTGATTATTAACCAATAAAAATCATAGAAAACGTGATGGAATAATTTACACATCGCCACTGACAAAAGTTCAAAAAAGGAATAAAAATAGAGTCGTAGTAATCAAAATTATCAAATTTAGTAAATGAAGACAATTGTGAGAATTTTTACTTATGAAAAAAAAATGAAAAAAGGAAGAAAATAGGTACGTATTTGGATAATTTAATGAACATATCGTTATTGTGTATGAACTATTGTACTTAGTATGAGCTATTGTACAAACTATAATGAAACTATAACAGACAGTACTGCAGTAATACTGTATAATTAATGTAAACAAATATTGTTAATTTAATTATTAATCAGAGATTTAAAAGATCAACCAATCAAAAAAATTTTAATTCTATCTTTTTTTTTTAAAAAAAAAAAAGAGCAAGGACCTTTTTTAGTGTAAAGTTTTTACGTAATCATTACATATCATTACGTATACAGCAATCATTAACCGGCGAACTCGGATAACTGGATAAGGATAACCGACAAGCATACGGTATAACCATTTTTACCATGATCTGCTAGTGCCGGCAACAAAGGTAAAAATAATTTATACCTTAAAAATAATGGTACTGTGATGATACGCAGAATAAATGACTTAAAATATTCCGGATCGTAACTTAATGGCGCTAATAATTTTCATGTAAAACGATACAAGATAGTTTCCATTTTTTTGATTGTCATTATCTTGTCGTTTTTTGATGATCATCAAAAAATAGGAAAATTTCCACATGGCAAGTCATTACAGCAAGTTACTACTGTACTACAAAAAGTTAAATTACTACAACAAGTTACTACTACAGTAAATTATTACAGCAAGTTACTACAACAAGTTACTACAGCAATTTACTACAGGAAGTTACAGCAAGTTATAAGTAAAAAAACTTGACCCAAATTTCCTTTTATTGTTTGCCCCTGACTTACAACACTCATACAACACTCATACAACACTCATACAACACTCATACAACACTCATACAACACTCTTATGACGGTTTCTATTACCTAATTAAGTTAATTCTTTAAAAAGCAAAACCTACTATAACAAATTTTAATAAAGCTTTATTTAAAAAAACTATACTGATACGTAAAAAATCATTTCATTATACGATCATCTAAGAACATATTACTTGAGCGCCAGTTTAACATGAATAGTAAGGATAATATTTACCCCACATACCTTTTTTTTTCCGACAAGGGTCCGAACAAATTTTTTTTTCACATACTTGCTTTTAATCGAATAGTAAATACGAACGATCTTTTAATCGAATATTAAATGCAATCGATCTTTTAATCGAACATTAAAACGCCTAAGCGTATAATCCTAAATATTATCCTAAGAATTATTTATAAAATTGATTTAAATAAATTAATTTATTATTACAATTTTATTCTTCTGAAAAATGAAGATTCTAATATTGATAACGATAAATAGATAATCAATTTTTGACTAGATTAATTTTTATGTTGTATGCAATGATAAACTTTGTATTAACCTTTTAAAAAATCATACGATTTTATCTTCTTTTCATTTTATAAATGAACGAATTCACACTAATGTGCTTACAAATTTGCACTAATGTGCGTTATAAAAAAATTACTATAGTACTTACAAAAAATTAACCTTAATAATAAACATTTGATTTATTTTACTGTAAGTGCAAGTATATTATATGTGCGGAATTCTACATGCATATAGTAATGGTAATGCATATAGTAATTAGTAATGGGTAAGTTATGCAAGCATAAAATTTATCGATATTGTTTAATAATTTTTTGTTTTTTTTTACGAAACAAATTCTTTTAAGTTTATTACCTAAAAAAATTTTTTTTGGTTTCGTTAGTTTATAAAAAAAAAGAAACAAATTTTGATAATGTGTAACGCTTAAATATTTATGCATCAAGTTATTCCAAAAAATTAAATCAATAAAGTTACGGGGTCATAATCACAAAAGTACAAATCAGGTTAAATATATTTGTTTATTAGGTAAGAATTAAAACAAACCATACCGTAAATGCATCAACCCAAGAATCTGAGAATTATAACTGCACGGAGTAGAATATTTTGAGCATACATAACATTACATAAATAGCATTACGGTATCTTACCGTATCTTACTGTATCTTACAGTATCTTACCGTTTGCATAATGATTATTTATATATATATATCAGTATATAATTTCCAAGTAGAACGATGGCTAATTATTATTGAACAAATAAAAATCTTTTGACGATCCGGTGATCGTATAAATAAGTGTTTGTCAGTGCGTCTATAGTTTTAATAATATTACGCAAAGTAACAAGCACTGGTGCAAATGTAGAGATTAGATTACCATATTAATTTTGGATAATTTACTAAATATGCATAGTAAGATAAAGAACATCTAAAAATTTAATTTAAATATCATGAATTTTCCCTCCACTTTTTTTTTTTTTTAGCGATCATTCATTCTTCGTATTAAATTTTTTTTTCAAAATTATTTATCGGTTTTAAACCGTTATGTATTTTTAATTACAATCTTTTAAATCTTATTTAAAAATTATTTAAAATTTCTTAAAATTTATTAAGAATTTCTTAAATAACATTTGAATATATATATATATAAATATATTACATATTATATATTCCTTTTTGAATTAATATGGGAAACACTTATTCTCGCAGACATCGTCATAAAAGTGATAATATATCAATATGTACATCAGTAAATGGTGATAATTCATCTCAAACAGATAGTATTTCTTCCAATGTTAGATATATAGGAGGAAGACCTTACTTTGAAGAAGAAATATCAGCATACGTTGTATGTTAATTATAATTTATAATATGTTTATCTTTTAAATTATCATTCTTAAACTTATTTAAGATATGAAATCAAAAATTTTAAAGCTTCCTACAGATTGGGAAGAAGCGGACAGGATTCAAATGGAACATTTTGCAATGAAACATGCTTTTGGTGGTAATTATGCCGCTCCACTTTCTGAAATTATAAAACCTGGAAGCAAAATTTTGGTATGTATATCGATCTACAATTTTAATTTATTTACGATTTACGTATCTACAATTTATTTATCTATAATTTTAATTTTATATTATAAAATTTTTTTTTTTTTTTAGGATATTGGTTGTGGGCCAGGTCATTGGAGGTAATTATCTCTTAAATCACTTTATGAAATATGAAAATTGCGATTTTGTTCTACTTTATCTTATCGTTTTATTATATTATTTTGTTATATTATTTAGCTTTGAAATAGCTCAAGAATTTCCTGAAGCAAATGTATATGGAATAGATATTTCTTCAACATTTCCAGCTAGCATAAAACCTAAAAATTGTCACTTTAAAAAATGCAACATAGTTGAACCTTTTCCATTTAAGGATGAAGAATTCGATTACGTTTTTATGAGATACATGATCTTTGCTTTAAAAGATTATCAATGGATACATGTATTAAATGAAATAAAAAGAATCTTAAAACCGGGTGGTGTTTTTGAATGTGTAGACCGAGATGTGCTTCGTGAGTATAATAAAACTGGTATTTTAATTTTAATATTAAATACTTGTATTAATCACTCTTTATCATTTTTTTACATTATTTATTCATTATTTATTTTTTTATCTTTATTTTAATAAAAATAGCATTCAGAGCGGGTAAAACTATCACTGCTTTTGTTGAAAAATCTCGTATGTATTAATTTATTAATTTTTTAATTTCATTTAAAGTTTTAAATATAATTTCATTTTTAAATAATACCTTCTTTTTTTCTATTTTTTCTATTAAAGAATGTACATTATATAAACAAAAAGGAATTGACGTTCGATTCATAACAAAAGTTGAACCAACACTTAAGGAAATGGGATTTCAAAATGTAACGTGTATACAAAAACATATACCTTTTGGAAAGTAAGTTTCGATTATTTATTAATTTATTTATTCATTTAAAATATTCTTTATTTATTTTAAATTATTCATTTTAAAATATTTATCAAAATTACATTGTTTTTTTTTCAAAATAGTTGGGGTGGAAAAATTGGTGAAATATGGAAATTAAATAATATAAAAATGGCCGAAACGCAAAGAATATTAATGCCTGAAATTTTAGGTATCACTGTTGATGAGTGGGATAGTACATATGCCCAAATAAGTAAAGAACGAGAAGAAAACCAAGAATTTGATGTACATTATATTATTGTGGCTACTAAGGATAAAATTAATGATATTATATTAAATGATAATAAAAAATCAATTAGTTATTAAAAATAAATAAATAAAAAATTCAAATAGATAACTTACTTCTTGTACAGTATGTTCAATATATCATTCTAGCATAAGTATGGTTATAAAATTATCGTAATTTTGCGTAATTTAATTTGCGAACTTAATTTTCATGTAAGAATCATATGCGTATCGATTTGACCAGTAAACTTTATGCAGAATTTATTGTAATTCAATAATGCTAGCTGAGTTTTTCAGATACTTTATATCATGTGTGAATTTACATGAAATCCATGTTACTGAAACTTAGGTAAAATTACATGAAATCTAAAATTGTAAAATTCATCAGTCTGGTCATCAGTCTGGTCATAAGTCTGGTCATCAGTCTAGTTGTTAATCTTAGTTTTATTATTGCTAGAAATAAGTCTGGTCATTAGTCTAGTTGTTAATCTTAGTTTTATTATTTCTAGATTAAAGGATCCCGTTTTAGAACAATTTTTGCACATGACACGTATGTGGATCTGACACGCTGTAATGCAAGTCACGCTAGTATACTGTATCAATATGTAATTAAATTTGTAATGGTGCAATATATATAATCGGCATATTCTAACCAATAATGTAACTTACACCAATTTTTAAAAAAGTGCAGACTAAAAACCTTATATGATTTGCTAATTTTAATAATTGATTACAAAGATTATGTAACATTTCACAAGCGAAAAGATGTTTCTATCTATGTAATGTTTTGGCGTATTTACCATGCAAAAGAATCTTATATTGTAAGTGTTAAAACTTTATTGAAGAAATTGCATATGCCTTTAAAAATAATGAAAATAATGGTGCAGTAACTACGTAACTACGGTAACTACGGTAACTACTCTTTGGCGCAAAAAATAGGAATACGCACTTTTAATTACTATTAGAACTTATTACTGTATTATTATAACATGTTAATATGATATTACTGTATTATTGATAAAGAAATATTCAAATTTTATATTAACTTTAAATTTAATCGATATTGTAAATATTGTAATAGGATATCATTGATAACATTGGTTAATGGGTAATTTTTAATATTGTAGATTAAATAAAATTGTTTATTGATGCGTCATAATTGTTTTAGACTATTAAAAATTCTGATCAAAGAAACTTTATTTGTCATTTAATGCCGTGCTGTTTGTAAAAAAAAACACGATTTTTAATTTTTCTTTTCAAAATAATGTAAATTAGTTTCACAAATTACACAATTAATTATTGATGTTCAGATACAATATAAAACCCGGAATTTTTTATATTGTCGGGAAATAATTTTTTATGCATAACATATCAGATATATACGTATGAATAACTATATCAACATATACATATCTGATACTATTAAAAAAAAATTTTTTTTTCTTCATTATAATTCATTATAATTGGTTGTATGCTCGGAGAACATTCCATAAATATAATTTTTTTGCAACCATCAAGTCATTATTTTTATATTAAGTATTAACGTAATATTATCTAATAGTTGATCATTATTATTTTGCTTATTTACATACGCACGCACGCACGTACGTACGTACATAAATACATATTACGTACATACCCAGAAGTGTTCTCGTACAATGGTCATACATATTTATGTATCTGAGCAACATCTCCTGCAGCTTCGGTATTTGCAATTCGCATGTTTCAAATAAAAAATTGCCGATTGTACAAAACCTTATAGGTCTTCGTACATAATTTGTATAATATGATACGTATTTACAAATTTGCAAACTTTTTTTTTACGTCAGAAGCTTTCTATGTAATTTTCTAGTATACAATGTGGTAACACAAATTCGGACTGATATACGAAAACCATGTTAGATACATACGCACGTACACACACACGCACGTACGTTTGATTAATTTAATTTTAAAAAAAAACATTTCATCAACGATCTACTCTTGCCTTATTATTAAATAAGGAATTATTACTCTGACTATAACTATCTAAAATAGTACATTTATAATGTACGTAGTAAATAGTAAATAAAACGAGTTAACTACTTACTGTACGTTCTGTTTAAGGATTTTTCTTACATCCGTTCAAACTTGTAATACTATACTGTTTGATCTAGTGATATCATATGCCTCATGATTTTTTCCTAGTTAATTGAAAATGTTCTAGCGTTATTTACTAATCCAAAACATTTTATTATTTGATCAAGATCGGGTGCAACCTAAAATCAAAACAAATATACGCTCAAACCATAACACTTGAACTAGTAGCAAAGTTGTTTTAAATTGGTAACAAGGATTTTGTAGTTACGCCTTTAGGGTTTAACCATGAAGATCCCCGTGTACTTAATAACCTGACGCATGACGATAGTCACGCGTTAGGTTATTCTAATATTTATATGACATAAATTTTTATCATATCTACATAATAATTTAAAAGTGACTGATAATTACCGTTCAACGCACTAAGTAAAAAGATTCAGCATGCTTGAAAATCTTCACAAACCATAGCTTTATATAATTTTATATAGAAATATATATAGATTTATATAAATAATTATGTAAATTTACATTGGGCTTATAAAGTTTTTATACCGATACGTTTCAAAAATTCTACATTACACATTACATAAAAATTTTATGTCAGTCTATATTACATTTTCTTTTGGGAAAATGGCTTTGGACCCCCAAAATTCGGGTGATGATCGATACACATCACTGCCGCAGTTACCGCAGCATATAGTTTTCGATCTCATCCTGTCCAAAACTTCATTTTAGCAGTAGTATATGTTTGTCGTTATTCAAATCTAGATAGCAAGCGATTTATATTTAATAAATCACAGATATAAATAATTAAAAAGAATCAAACCGATTTAATAATATTAAACCTTTAAAAGAAATTTAATTTTTTTGTGTAAAGTTTTCTTGTAAAGAATAATATGAGCGCGCCCAAAGGAAAACCTGTCATCGGACATTCAATTATATTTCGTGTACAGTTAGCCGTCTAAGGAAAATCTATCATCATGATAGATTTTCCTTAGATGGATAACTGTACACGAAATATAATTGAATGTCCGATGACAGGTTTTCCCTTGGGCGCACTCATATAACCTAAGAGTACTTAGTTATTATAATAAGATAAAATTTTTAATAAACAGTATTATTTAATTTTTTTATTCTTTTTTTGCAATTGCATTTTATTTAATTCAAATAACAATTATAAGAAATTCATAAATTTTTAATATTTTGTTATAGTTAGTAAAGCATTCAAGTGCATACTAATATATCTTTCATTCTGAAAAAAATGAATACTCATTACAGGTCAAATAAATTTATACCAGTGAACTATCAGGAAGCTGATATTAAATAAAAGTTAAGCAATAATATACTGATATTATACTGATATTTAATGCTTATATATTACTAATATGAAACAAAAATTTGATAGAAATAAAATACTTTTCAGTATTATATCAACTAATTTATGGTAATCATTCAATGTTATGTTATTAAAAAGCAAAATAATATTAGCAATTCTGATATATTTATCAAAATTTTAATATTAATTATATAAGAATAATATTGGTAACTTTCAAAATATTTATTATAAGCATATTGGAATTCTGATATTATTATATCTAAATCAATTGTTTTTTGTTTGTTACTGTTTCACTGTATTAAATGTTACTAAAGCATTTTAGATTAAAACAATAGAACTATATATACTTATTAAATATTTTATTCAAAAGCAATATTATAATTTTTTTAAAAAAATATTATTATTATAATTTTAAAAAAATTAATAATACTAACAAAAATGCTAATATATGTCTAAATATATTCAATAGTTTTCTATTCACTATTGGTAATAATAGTAGTTTCATTATTTTCTTTTTTATTTATATCATTATTATTTGTACTATTATTTATATTATTATTATTTGTACTATTATTTATATCATTATTATTTGTACTATTATTTATATTATTATTATTTGTACTATTATTTATACTATTATTATTTGTACTGTAATTACTGGTATTATCACTACTATCTGCAATAATTTTTCTTTATTTTCTAATTTATCTACTTTATCATTATTATAATTATTATCCACATCTTTATTTTCATCTTCAGAATAATATAAAGAAAATATGGTTCAAACAAAGGTATTAGATAGTGATTTAGAATTATTGACTCATTTTATATTATTATATTATTATTTTTTAATACATTTAATGTATAAAATATTTTTAGTTACTTGGTTAGTAAATTATATAATTTTTTAATCTAGTTTATATAAAATAAAAAAATAAATAATTAAAATAAAAGAACTACTATTTGTATTATTAATTTTTATATTTGTATTATGATATATAAATCATGACCAAATTAATAGTATTAGTGCAATTAGATTTTCTTAATATAATATTCTATGGTTTGTATAATAAAAGTATAGAAATTCTTTATAATAATAACAATTATAATAATTACTTACTTGTTAAAATTTTTATTATTTATTCTTAATATAGAGTACATAATTACCTTCTTTATTTTTTTTTGATTTGGAATAAATGTTTTGTTAGCATTCTAATACTATTTTTTTATTATCAGTTTCAAAAACTTTGTCTAAATTAAAGTCACTATTATTAATTATATATTCAAGATCATCTTTAAATTTATCTCAACTCATCAAAAAGAAAAGTTCAGTAAGTTTCTTATTATTGATACTAATTATATAACTAATATCTCAAATATGTTTTTATTTTTTTTATAAAATAAATAGATAAATTATAATTAATAACAGTAAATCAATATTTTTATTAAAATAAAAAAAATTATAGACCTATTTAGTTATTTATCTAAAATAACTTTATAAGTTATATAAAATTATATTATATTAATTATATATTATAATAATATTACTAATATAAACCTAATATAATATAATTTTTTTTTTAAATAATAACAGTAAGGCCATGCCTTTAACTTTATTGAAATTTAATTGAAGTTTTTACAAAGAAAAGCTTGCCTTTAAATTACATATAAAGAATAAAAACTCAGATATATAATCTGCAATTTAAATTTACAAAAGTGACCAAAACTTACTTAGATTTGGGTATTAGTAATAATATAAGAGAGAGGAGTATGATATTTAATTCATTGAATAGTCCAAAGGTCAATTTTGATAATAATTTAAGGTATTAAGATAGGAGGTAGAGTAGAAGAAGAACTATGAGTTAAATTTGTAGTAAGTGTGTTTTAAGACTGTGCAGAAGGTGAAATGCAATATGAAATCCAGATTTTTTTGTATGATTGTTGGTTT